AAATTCATTTTGTTTGTGAGATGGTAGCCTTTGGTTTGATTCTGTCGACCGGGAGGTTCTCTGGCGATGCTTGGCTGTAAAGGGAATGCCGAGAAAATACATTACACTGATTAAGGCACTCTACTCGTACTCATGCAGCCAGGTGAGGGCTTATGGCGAGTTGTCATCTGAAGTGGTGACGACTAGTGGCGTCCGTCGAGGATGCCCATTATCCCCATTCCTATTCAACTTCATCATAGACGTACTAATGGACTTAACCCTAACACACTTCAGCGACTCAGGGATTGACTTGTTACCACCAGGGAATAATCTCGTCGACTTAGAATATGCAGACGATATAGTCCTTCTAGGTGAAGACGCTGACAAAATTCAGAGTCTACTGAACACCTTGAGCAACAATCTAAGAATGTTTGGAATGCGATTCGCCCCTGTAAAATGTAAGATGATGCTGCAGGATTGGACTTCACCGACCCCTAGATTAGAAATAGGAAGTGAAGTGGTAGAGCACGTTAACCGCTTCAATTACTTGGGAAGTACCATCAGCCCCAACGGGCTGATCACTGACGAAATATCAGCACGAATACAGAGGGCTAGGTTCGCATACACCAGTTTACGCCGTCTCTGGCGTAGACGTGATATCCGACTATCGACCAAAGGGCGTGTGTACTGCTCAACAGTCCGCTCGTCCTCCTTTATGGCTGTGAGACGTGGCCACTGAGAGCAGAAGACATGAAAAGACTAGCTGTGTTCGATCATAGGTGTCTGCGTTCTATCTCCCGCGTGAAGTGGTATAATAGGGTGAGCAATATTGAGGTTAGGCGTCGAGTGCTAGGTAAGGCGGGGAAATCAATCGACGAAACTGTGAAATTACATCGACTGAGATGGTTAGGACATGTGCTACGTATGCCTAGTCATCGCCTTCCTCGACCGACGGGCAATGTTAGCTGATATAGGGCCAGGCTGGAAAAGAGGTAGTGCTGGTCAAACTAAAACATAGCACCAGTCAATGAAATGCACAACAGTTAGTTTAAGCCACGTAGGGAGATGTAGACTTCCTGGTTGGGGTCCTCGGGACGGTAAAAACCAATGGTTGGAAACAATTGGTGACATGGCTCAAAATCGTTCTCAGTGGCGCAGATGCATCCACTCCTTGTGAATTATGATTTCCAATTAAACTGTTTTGTTCTTCGTTATTACTATTCCTTTGCCTCACACCTCTGTTTACTGTCTATATTATGCATTTCTCCTACTTTCTTCTCTTGCTTTGTCTGCTACATGGAGTGTGGCGACTTGAACTGCCACACATATGTGCAAAGTTCTATGTCGAAAACCGACCGACCTTTGGTTTGAAGTGTGCTATACTTACCCCTAACATACCAATGGGAAACACATTCAAACTTGGGTGATATAATACATCCATCGGAGACATTAAACTTTAGATACCAATAACCTTGAACGGAACAGTCACATTCCTTACATGAGTTTAAGGTATTATTATTCCACTCGATTCAAGTTAAATAAATGCCTCCTCTAACAGATGTGCGCTTGAAATTCAGTGTAGACTGAGTAGTTCAATATTGCTTGGAAGTAGAAGAATTTCTTCTTGTGGAGGTAGTATTGTGGTGATGTGATACAGACGATATGTGTCCAACGGAAGATTATTCCCACATATTCCCAAAGTTTTATACTGAATTAGCAACAGAACTGAATAATATGTGCATTTGAACATTCTATTTCATGTCGTTTAATGTAAACCAAAATCATACGCTCAGTGATTGGTTAGAGAAAACAAAACTGTGTAGGTATAAGACACAAGAAGTGGATGCATCTGCGCCAGCCATCACTGAGAACGATTTTGAGCCATATCATCAGTTGTCTCCAGCCTTCATTGGTTTTAACCGTCCCGAGGACCCCAATCAGGAAGTCTACACCTTCCTACGTGGCTTAAACTAACTGTTGTGGATTTCATTGACTGATGAAACCATGTTTTGGTTAGACCACCGCTAGCTCTTTTCCAGCCTGATCCATTCTATGTCAGCTAACATTGCCCGTCGAGGAAGGCGATGGCTAGACATACATGCGTAACACATGTCCTAATCATCTCAGTGGATGTAGCTTCGCAGTCTCGTCGGTTGATTTTCCCTCCCACCTAACTAGCACTCGACCGATGCCTAACCTCAATATTGCTCACTTTATTATACCACCACTCACACGGGAGATAGAATGCACGCACCTATGATCAAAGACAGCTAGCCTTTTCATGTATTCCATTTTCAATGGCTATGGCTTACAACCATAAAGAAGGACAGAACGAACGGCAATTGAGCGGTACACACGCCTTTTAGTCAATAGCCGGATATCACGTCTATGCCAGAGACGGCGTAAACTGGCATATACGAAACGAGCCTTCTGTATCCGTGGTGAGATTTCGTCAGTGATCAACACTCTAGTGTTGGCTGATGCAACTTCCCAAATAACTGAAGTGGTCAACGCGCTCCACCAACCACTTCACTCCCTATTTCTAAGCTAGGAGTCAATGTAGTCCAATAGTCCTGTAGCCTCATCATCTTACATTTGGTGGGAGCAAATCGCATGCCAAACATTCGAAGATTGCAGCTCAAGGTGTTCAGAAGACTCTGCATTTGCTGACATCAGGTTAGAGAATCACTGGAAAACCACTACCACGGAGTTCTGAACAGCCAGATGTTCCGTCCTAGTTTGGGACCATTCAGGAGCGCGCACCCGCCACTAAGAACCAAGAATCTTCCAGTTACAAGGCTAGCGAGCTCGTAGACTATATTCAGCCAGCCCAATTCACGAAATAGCGCGACTGTCACTAACCAATGTCATCGCTGGCGAATATTTGTTCCCACACCCGACTCTGCTATACCCCTCTGATTACGATTCCTCACTAGAACCCAGGTAACCGTCTACTTGAATAGGACCAGTCGCTAGTGAGTATCTCATTGATATTCAAGTGTTGGTTTGTAAGGATTTGATTTGATTGGTTACAGGAGTTCATCATCATCATCATCATCATCATTAGATCTTCACTTCAACTACAAACTCAAAAGTATACTATCAATCAATCAATCGATCAATCAATCAATTATTCTATTTATTAACAACTCTTCACTTCTCACTATAATTGTAACTACTTCGCTACTATGGGGTGCCACCGACAATTATACATCTCATCCAACAGTTGTACGACAATACTGCATGCCAAGTAATCCACAACGGGAAACTTACGGAATCCTTCGAAGTGAGGACAGGAGTAAGACAAGCTGGCTGCCTACTATCGCCAATGATTAATTTTCTGATTGCAGTAGACTGGATAATGTGACAGACAGCGGTGGGCAACGAGGGAACAGGCATAAAAAACTTGGAGGATCTGGACTTAACCGATGATATATGTCTGATTTCCCACAAACTGGAAGATATGCAAGAGAAAAGCAACAAGTTAGCAGAAGAAGCATCAAAGATAGGATTTCAGGTGAACATAGAGAAGACAGAGGTGATGAAGATTCCTGGGCAACACCACCAATAGCAACAACAACAACAGACAACAATCAACATAAATGGAAGGAACCTGAAAGAAACAACCTCTTTTACCTACCCACCTACTACCTGGGAAGCATAGTTTCAACTAAAGGTGGAACTGACGAGGATATCAAAGCAAGAATCGGAAAAGCAAGACAAGCTTTCACTACTCTCAAGTCTGTGTGGAGGTCAACAGCACTCAGCATCAAAAATAAGATCCGGATTTTCAACTCCAATGTGAAGTCAGTGCTACTTACTATACGGATCAGAGACGGCGCATCATAAAGAGCATCTCAAACAAACTACAGACCTTCATTAACAGTTGTCTTCGCTCAATACTCAAGATCAGATGGCTGGCCAGAAAAGATCAGCAACAGAGATCTCTGGCAATGAGCGAACCAACACAGCAGGAACCGATTGTGAAACAAATAGGCAGGAAGAAAAGGAGATGGATTGGCTGGCCATACTCTGAGGAAACAAACCATCAAGTGACATCACTAGACAAGCCATTGCTCGAGTGGAACCCGACCGAAAGGGAAGCGGCGAGTTGGTTGTCAGTGCAAGGGTGACTTGGAGGAGGTCATATGAAGAGGAGATGAAAGCATGTGGGTGGCAGACTTGGAGGAGCCAGGTGAAAACTCTAGCAGAGAACCGAACGCAATAGAGACGCACAGCTGAAGCCCTATGTTCCTCTAGGAATTAAAGGAAACAATAATAATAAATAACACTTATATTTGTATATATATGTATATAGTATAAAGATGAACAGAAAATATCAAAAAGAAAGTTGGGTTGCAGGGGGGGGGGCGGGGCGGGGCGTTGTGGGAGCAGGACACAATATAATCATTTTGAGTATAATCTTTTACACGCATGAGTATTTATGCTGTATATATGTGTCATATATGTGCATGTGTTTGTTAATTTTTTTTGTTTTTGTATTTTGGCGATGCTTTCATCTACAGGCAGAAAAAGGTGATATTTGCGCAATGATTAAAAAAAATAGTACACAATACAAAGAACACAGAGTGATGAAGAGTTGATGTCTATTTATTTTTGTTTTGAGGATAGATAAATCATTTGTGTATGTGCTTGTGTGTATGCGCGCGTCTCTCTGTCTCCCCCTCTGAGATCCTCAGGGTAACCACAGATCAACATCAGAACAGAATCACTTACCTCAGTTAATTGATTGGTTGGTTAGTTAGTTAGTTAGTTAGCTGGTTAGGCACTTTTGTAAATTGGATGGGCTGGCGGGCTGGAGGGCGGGCGGTAGAAATCATCAGTGAAATCGATGATATGAGATCATGATTATGAAGAGATGAACAATGAGGAGGAAGAGAAGAGAAATACAACAGGATGAGGAATTAAACTCTGTAGTGAAACACAGTAATTCCAGTTGATGGCATATACACACATACACACGCATATATAGATGTTTATAATTGTAGACAGATAATTTATATATTGTGAATTCATTCTCTAATCCATAGGAAAGACGGCATCATCTTCTTCTCTACTACTAGCTGGTAGCATATGATGATCAGTAGCATTCGGTACAGTTGTATTCACTTGTGTTGATGAAATATTACTACTAACAGTACTATTAGTAGTATTGGTAGTACAAGTAGTAGTAGCACTGGTCGAAGTGACTCCTCCACTGCCAACCATCATCATCTCATCAATGGCAACTAAACTGCTAACAGGATAAACACAATGGCTGGATTCAGCATAATGTACATGATGCTGTTGTTGCTGATGGTGGTATTGAGCAGTAGTCGTTGATTGTTTGGCAATCTGTGGACTAGGTCTTCTAAATAATGGAAGCATAATGATGAAAAGAAACAAAATATAGCGTCAAAGATGTATTTGAATTCGTAGACAAAATAAAAGATATTAATAATATCAAGGACCAAAACCATGATATCTCTAGACATAACATCGTTATTCACAAATGTACCTCTAATAGAAACAGTTAGACATACATATATACACAGAAAAGAGACCTGGAGGGCGGTTTATCTTAACTTCAAAAGCTTCTACCCTATAAAAGTTACAAAAAGGGATTGGTGAGAACATTATTTGATCGTGTAAGGAAGCTGTGTGTTCAAAAGAAAAGATTGAGGAAGAGCTATCCATTGTGGAGAAATGCCTACGCGACAACGGTTACCCACAAAAGTTCATCGACAAGTATGGAAGACGTCATGTTGAAAAAGTGAAAAGCAGCACAGAGTAGAGAAAAAGCCTATCTTTCTGCAGCTTGCATTCAAAGGTGATGATACTGCTAGTAGAATAAGATGCAGACTGAACGCTGCCCTGGAAAGAACATATCCAGCCGTCAAGCTTGTATGTGTTTATTAAACAACTAGTTGTTTGAGACAATCAAAAGTGGACAAATACCCACCTCATGTTATCTCCAACTGTGTCTACCAATTTACATGTACGTACCAAAGCACATACATTGGAAAAACAGAGAGAAGGGTTATTGTCCGCATTTCTGAACACATACCAATGAACCTGAGACTGAAAGGTCCACAAGTACTAAACACTGCAATTGCGCGTCATCTATTAGACACTGGTCATATTGTAGACAACGTGAGGTCGCTCAAAATAATCAACAAGCAAAAGAAACCTAACTTGCTACACTTTGCTGAAGCAATTGCTATCAAACGACTTAAACCAAATCTACGTACGCAGAAAGAGACAGTGGTGAATCTTGCACTACTCTGGTGATAACAAAATATACAACTTTTATGAGTCACCCTTTTTCTTGTTCAGAAAACTCTACTCTCTCATCTAAACATAAGTCACTCTATCTTGTTCTTTTCTCTTCCTTTTTTCTATTGGATATTAGATAAAACATTTTCTTTAGTTACGTAATCTACTGTTTTGTTATGCTCTGTCTAGCTAAACCTTGTTTCTATATATATATATATATATATATATATATATATATATATATATGCAACTCTGTTTTTGTTTCCAAGCCTAATTGCCTAATTATTCTATAAATATTTATAAACTGTCAAATATTGATCACAGTTCATTTGAATTATTCTATAAATAGTCAGTGTTTGTAACTCTTAATTAGTTAAATCATTTCGGACTAATGTTACTTTTACTTCCTACCAATTACTCCTTGTGATCGTGGAAAAGTATGTTCAAATCTTTAATGTAATTTCAAATTTTTTATCGTTCAGGTTGTAGCCAGTTGAGAAGAATCCTCGAAATAAAAAAAGATGAGCTCATATTATCCTGGTACAATTGTTGTTCTTGCTTTGTTCAAGTTTAGAAACAATTAATTATATATGTGAACAAGTGGACAAGCAGTCGATAAACATTGGAATCCTAAAAGAATTGATATTAAAATGTACCATGAATGTAAACTTCAAATTTGACAGCACGATTTACAGGCAAGTGAACGGAGTGGCGATGGGCTCCCCATTAGGTCTCATTCTGGCTGATTTCTTTCTAAGTAAGCTAGAAAATGGACCTCTGAATAACCTTATCAGTATGCTCTCATTTTATTGCCAATATATGGATGATACCTTTATTCTTTGTGATAATGGTTCTGATAGGAGTACAATAATTACTCAATTCAATGAAGTACATTAGGCTATGGAATTCACACGCGAAGAGGAATTTGCATAGAAAAGCACTTGGACAGGACAATATACACACTTTCACAGCTTCGTTCCTATCAATTACAAAAGAAATTTAGTGAAGACCCTCAGCCACAGAGTTAGAGCTATATGCTCAGAGGAAGTAATTGAAGATGAATTAAGCATTGTATATGATACTTTGATCGAAAATGGTTATCCTGACAAATTTATCAAGAAACATATGACAAAGAAAGCCGAAAAGGACTACTCACTATCTGTAAACAAGAAGCCTTTATATATACGACTACAATTCATGGGCGATATACCAAGCGAGATAATTACGAAGAAATTAAGAAAATCAGTTCAAAGAACTTTTAATGCTGGCGAACTACACGTATTATTCTCTACACGACCGATGGTGCTACCTCGACTGAAAGATGAAGTACCTAGACTAGCCACTTCAAATTGTATCTACCAATTCAACTGCACTTGTGGAGCGAGTTATATTGGCCGTTGCTCTAGGAACTTGATTTTTCGTGCTCTGAGAACATATCCCACTATGGCTAAGTAAAGGTGTAGTTAAAACTATTAACAGCTCGATATTAGACCATCTGGTGCAAACCGGTCACAAAGCCAGCGTAGAAGAATCCTTCTCTATAATCTACCGGGTGCCTAACAAATTACCAAAATCATCGAAGCACCGCATGCTCCAAACAGCAGAGGCTATTGCAATTCGCCTCAAACAACCAGTGCTCTGTGTTCAAAAGAAGCAAGTCCAGCCCCTACTACTGCCCTGGCCCTCAGTAGAAACTATAAACTCATGAATTTGTACTATTATCTTTCATAATTCTTCTGACATTCAGCTTATTTTATGTTGATGCTGTTCAGCTGTAATCTATCAATATTATTGATTCGATGTTATTTAAACATTAATGTCGTTCATAAGACTAATTCATTCATTCACTATAATGTATATATAACTGTAGAGCCTGATGATGAATTTATCGAAAAGAGTACTCTTTGTTCAGTATCAATTCTTTTGAAAATTTTAATGGGCATTTTTAATCAGTTAGAAACAAAATAAACAAAAGAGGAGAGATCAGAACAGACAATATTACTACTCCTACGTACGACTTCTACTTTTGCTCTGAATGTAGATTTTGTCATGAGACAGTCAATCCAGTTGGAGAATTATTAGAAGAAACTAGCACGGAGGACTGAACTCTTGAATACCTAGGCGTGGTTAGCAAAGGGACAGTGTAAGACAATTACTAGCTCAATTCTCGAGCATTTGGTGAACTCAGGGCACGTAGCTCCACCGGAGTCGTCTTTCAACATCATCTACAAAGTGAAACCAAATGGTACGAAGGGCATCAGGTTTCGGCTTTTGTGTGTGTATGGCGGAGGCGCTGGCAATTCATCAATACAACCTTGAACTCTGTATACAGAAAAAGTTTGTCCAGTCTCTTATTCTACCTTGGTCTTAACCTTCTCACTAATTGTTCCCTGTAAAAAACATATTAATGTTTTCTTTTTTGTAATTTTTAATCTTACTTTTAGTTTGCTTTTGTTAATAATTAATTCACTATTATCACTCTCATATGCTCCTTTTGTATATTTTCACACCCTCTTCCCACTTGTTAAATTGACACTCAAATACCTTTATTCTGACTTGATAGCAATTTTAACCTTATCAAATTTCTACCTTTGTTCTGTTGAGTACCACGTAATTTACAACTTCTAAAGCCACTTCGATTATGTCACCCCCTATTGCTCAATAATAGACCACTACATAATTTTGTAAGTATAAATACGACTGTACAGCCTTTGAAGATGATTTCGTCGATAAAGAAAACGGTCTTACGCTAAATCCCTCTAAATGTCAAACAGTCAATTTCACCTTTAGGCATAAATCTGACCTAAACAAACTGGTTAGCACTCACGAGGTGTGCAACATAGATGGCACTGAAATAGAGACCAAGTCGGAAATTAAATATCTTGGCGTCATTCTATCTACCGATCTTTCCTGGTCGTCTCATATCTAGACGATTTCTAAGAAAAAATATTCCGTCTTACCTTCTACATCAAGAAGTTAAGACATTCTGGTATAACCCAACCCTTACTCTTACAATTCGTTAACTCTTTCATCCTGCCTATTATTCTATATTGTTCCTCCTTAGTTTTTCCCAGGCTACTGAAGAAAGACTATACCTTATTACGTAGGGTGTTAAAGGTTGTCAGCAGGGTAAGCAATGTGCCACTTAACCAGCTTGTTAATATTCTGGTTGACAGGCACATGGACTTATGTGAAAAATGGGCTAAATCCATTTTATCTAACTCACACCACCACCCTCTTCATTCACAACTCTCCCCTTGCATCTCATCAGGCAAACCACCAGAAGCCTATATAGAAAACGATATGCTCGCACTAGCAAGTACAAAAACTGACCATATCCTACTTAGCTCGTGTTCTGTGCGATAAAGAAAGCATTAGGCGTGACACCTATAAGTTATTAAATAGTCAGTAGAACAACTGGACCTCGTCTTTCCAAGTCATATCATTTATAGGTTCAACGTTTTCTTTCTTTCTTTTCCTTTTTTTGCAAACTCTATTTAAAAAATTCTTCTTCGTTCTATCACACTCTGTATATCTCGACCTTTGTGTTACCGCTTACGCCAGTAAATATGCTAGCATCTACTTCTGTAACAGATGACAGATGACTGAAGTCATAATGAGAAGACATGGTCAATGAGGGTCGACCATGTCAAATGCAGTGAAGTAGATATGTTCATTGGTCTCGTAACCACCACCTACCTCTGAAGGGTGGTTCCAGGTGTGCAGACTGATGTGAAGAGTCTCCAGCTAGGACGAAACACCTTTGTAATGTACTCCCCCCCTGGTGATTCTCATCAACAATTCTCCCACTAACTCATGTTTATTTTGTGACACAATCAATAATTTAAACTACTACTTACTTGTTATAAAAATTGTACAACAACACAACGAAGACATGAATACATCAATGCAAAAAAAAACTAACAAGCAGCACAATTTGGTGAAAGTTTACATGAAACCTGTGATTCCACGTGCTAGTTAATCAGTTCGCGCCAAGTTCTGGCTAGTCAGAACTCAGCTGGTTTCAACTGATTCAGTTCTCTGATCTAAGTCAAAATGGCTACATCGCTGATGAACTCGGTCACAAACGTGTGA